AGATGAAAACCCCAAAACTCCATAGAGAAAAAAAAATTAGAAAATGGGCAAAAGACATTGCAATGAAGACAGTATATACAATATTAAGAAAGACAAAATGAACACTGTTTTGTTTTCAAGGCAGTAAGGAGACTTGCCTGTCTGGTATTTTAAAAGTTGTATTGGGAGATAATAATATATGTAATTAAAAACAATGTACATTAGCATTACAAGAAGTTGTTACTGTTTTATTATTTAGTTTGACATAGTTTTGTATGAGCCAGTCTTTTAAATATAGAAACTTTGCTTACCAGCTTTTTATTCATTACTTTTTCAGAGATTGGAAATGCTTATGCTGTTTTAAGCAATCCAGAAAAACGAAAACAGTACGACCTCACAGGCAATGAAGAACAAGGTTGTAATCACCAAAACAATGGCAGATTTAATTTCCATAGAGGTTGTGAAGCTGATATAACTCCAGAAGACTTATTTAATATATTCTTTGGTGGTGGATTTTCTTCAGGTACTTTATTAAATTTTACAAAGCTAGAGAACAATAACATACAATTACAGTAATCAAGACTGTGTGGTAGTCATGGCAGGATAGATATATATTGATCAGTGGAACAGAATAGAGAACCTAGAAGAAGATCTGTACAAATATATTCAGCTGGCTTTAGACAGAGTGCAAAAGTAATTCAGTAGAAGAAAGATCTCCTTTTCAACAAAGGGTGTTGGAGTAGTTGGACATTCATAGACAAAACATTTAACCTTGACCTAAGTGTCACACTTTTTATGAAAATTAACTCTAAATGTTAATTTAGAGTTTGGAGCAGTGGCAGGGATCCAGGTAAGGGGTGGGACCCAGGCCCCACCCTCAAGTGCCAGGAAAGTGGGGGAAAGGAAAGAAAAGCCAGGGGGACCACGAGAAAGAGAGCAGTGGCAGAAATCTAGGTAAGGGGAGGAACCCAGGCCCCACCTCCAAGCAGTAAGAAAGCAGCAGAGGTCTAGGTAAGGGGAGGGTGGAGAGGTTTCGAACAGCTAAGACAAACTTGTCTGTTGGCTTGTCGTACTGTTGTGGCTTGCACATTGCTGTGAGGCTTGAAGCTATATACCACCAGTGTTTCAAACGCCAGCGAGGTTGCACATGGTGCACAGGTTTCAGCATGGTTTGCAGACTGAGAAAGACTAGGAAGAAGGAAAAAGCCATCCACTTCTCAAAGAGTTGACCAGGGAAAACCTTATGAATAGGAGAGAAACATTGTCTGTTACGTTACTGCGCAATTTTATGACTAGCCCGGAAAAATTGTACGATACACTGCAGGAGGACGAGCCCCTTAAGACAAAAGGTTCTCAAAATATGACTGGGAACGAGCTGCATCATAAAAGTAGAACCAACCTTACTGATATGGATAAGGTAAAGCTTTTGAGACCTCCATTTGCTGACGTGGCACCACACAAATTGAGGAGAAACAGCTGCAAACATCTGTTAGTAATCAGAACATGGAATGTACGAAGTACAAATCTACGAAAATTGGAAGTTGTCAGAAATGAAATGGAATGCATAAAATCCTAGGCACTAATGAGCTGAAATGGACTGGTTTTGGCCATTTTGAATCAGACAACCATATGATCTACTATTCCGGGAATGACAATTTAAAGAGGAATGGCGTGGCATTCATCATCACAAAGGATGTTTCAAGATCTGTCCTGAAGTACAGTGCTGTCAGTGATAGGATAATATCCATATGCCTACAAGGAAGACCCACTAATATGACTATTATTCAAATTTATGCCCCAACCACCAAAGCCAAAGATGAG